TAATTGTTATTTGCAATCTGTGTTGTGATTTATCTATCTATGTAACGTTGACTCTYTGCTGTCCTTTAAGAAAGAACTTAAAACTTATTTGTTTAGTTTAATTTTTTTTTGTTATGCCAGAGTGCATAGAACAGACTTGTTTATGCGCTATACAAGTTTTCATATTATTTTTATTATTATTATTAAAAGTGCTATGTGTCACATTTATTATGTTTTAGGCCGATTGGTCCAAGAAGAAGCTTTGCTGCCATCATCTTACAATGATAGTGATGTATCTGATATTAATGAAAGGTTTATTGACTACTCTTGTGTCAATTGATTATCTATTCTATTATTTTCTATCCTAGGAACCATTTTTTTCATGCCTCTGGTGCTGGAATTTTAAAAATAGTCAATAGCACTTGTCAATGAATCATTTTACCATTGCTAAGAAACATTTGGTGTCATTTGGTAATTGTATCATTCAATTAATCTTTACTACTTATTTGTGATATATATATTAGTTTTTATTCTTTTTTGATCTTAAAATAGTCAGGAGAAGATCAAGCAATTTCCAAAAGGGGAACCATTAGAAACCCCATGAACACCAGAGAGTCTGGGGCATGCTCCCCACAGAAAGTTTTGAAATTTAAATCCTGAGAAATGYRATTTCCATTTTGAGGGATTTTGACAACAATTGTCTTTCCATTATCCAGCTAAATGTGTTACATGCCTCCCTTGTCTCCCCCTTAAGTCCATGTCTGATAGTAAAAGAACTAATTGCTTGTGATTGAATGTTCATTATTTGCCTATAGAATATCTCATTTGCAAGAGGATTTATTGACTTGCACGTCAAATAAGTCATTTGTGAAAGTTATGCTAGAAAGGTGATGTCAATTTATAATATTCTTTACTTTTGCAAATTCTTGCAAAACAATGTACATTAATTTTTTTTGGGTGAGTACCATAAATTGAAATGTAGAGATCTGTCTACAGATTGCTTGAAGGACAAGCTTTGATCAAATTATTGTTTCCTCATACCGTCACTGAGATTCCAACCCAGGAGAAACTATCAACAATGAAGTAAGAATATTCTTAGTGACTGTTAGATCCCAGGTCAGTATGAATAAAATGTTTTT